TCTGCAGGTCAGCGCGTCTGAAAGCGCTGACTGAGGTATTGGATGACCTTGAAGAAGCTGGCCTTGAACAAAGATACCGGGCAAAGCAATATTGGGCCTCGGCTACAAGCTTAAGCAAAAACAGTCTTACTGGCCATGGAGGGTGCACTGGGTGTAACAAAAACGATGTGGAAAAAGAACAGGGTTCACCGAATTGGTCGTTCCGGGCTTCCTTTCACTATCAACAGTATACTTCATCGTCTGAGGCCTGAAATAACTGACCACATGGACCCCGGGGTTATATCAGTTTTTTTCAGTGTGGCGATGATCGAATGATGACGGTCATTTCTGCTCAAGGAAGATTGAGCTGCCCTATTCAACTAAGGTTAAATTCCTACTTAAATCTATTAGGTTGTTGGCTTTTCAGGACAACATGGTTTAGCGCCACGTCACCTGGAGCCATCACCAGACATCGGGGCTTCAGCCGTTGATTTTTAACGTCTTGGATGGTTAGTGTTGGCCAGATGTGGCAAAAAACAAAAATGTTTCGTGCAGAAATTTAAAAAAAAACAAAAGAAACGGAAGCATTATAAAGCCCAGGCAAGGGGTTTTCAGTTCCTCGGAAACTTTTACAGTTGGCTCTTCGAGACGCAGCTTGTGTACTTTCCGTTTCCTCGTCAGAAGAATGTCATCTCAAATACAGCTCAACCGCTCAGGTAAATAACATCGCAATGACCATCCACCACCAAACAAAGCTTAATCCTATCTTTTTAGCCATCTGTCTGCGGAAAGTCGCAAAACGAGTTATCGATTTTTGCACGTGTTCCGCACGCAACACACAAATCGACTCCCACACGGCCTAAACCGTGACGCTTAGCGGACTGACACCCAAGTCCACCAAAAGCCAGGCCAGGGTATTGCGTACAAGATGTCTAGAGGCGCCGCCTCAATGGCTACTAGCGCATTCAGTGTAGAGTCAACAGAGGACTCCAAACCCAAGAAGCGTTGCTTTCCTTGCAAATCAGGCAACAAGCAAAATAGACGTTCCACGACAGCGTCTCGGCCGCCACCACCGGAAACCAACGTGGGGTCCATACGCGGGCTTGGACGCAGAGAGTCTGCTGCGTCTATGGCAAGTGGTCCTGCAGACCTTAGCAGCGCGGGCACTGGCGTTTATGTCAATAAGGGTAACAGTCACACAAC